AATATATTAAATATATATATATATATATATATATATAATCTCTTAGATCAACTTCAAATTATTTTAAAAATTTGAAGAAAAAAAATTCAAGAGAGGTTATAACTGATGACGATGCCTGAGGAGATTCTTTCCCATATGGGATCGATCCATCACATGTCAAACATTGTGGAAGCACATTTAAGAAGCTATGTTTGTAATAGGTTTTAAAATTGGGCTTCTCATAAATATGAAACACATAGACGTGGAAAGGGTACACCGACTTCAATTTTTCATCAAAGCAAGACGGATCAGGGCATCTTTATTCTTACAAGTAAAGAATATATATTACATAGTTTTTTCTCATTTAAATATGTGTCTGTTTTTATTTTTATGACGTACAACAGTTGATTACATCATTTCCTTCTTTTTAATGTAATTTTTTCTCTCTTTCATATCATCTACTTTAATTTAACCCTTTTACTCACTATGCAACAATTGCTTAATTTTAAGAAACTCCCACTAAGAATGTTCTTAGATACAAGTTTTTGAGACAAGACAATATCATTTTCAGATGTTTTGACAAGACGTCAAATTATTTAAAACAGGGAAGACACTACATTTCTTTTTCAACTTTTGGAATGTATTTGGTATCTTTTGCTTCCACATGTAATTAACTAGGATCAATATGTTTCATCTCTAAATTTACATTTTTAGATTTGGATATATTAATTGACAGATTTATTTTACCAGCAGAAAAAGTGAAAAACTAGTTATTTTTTTGTAGAATTGGAATTATAATTATTTATGGAATAAACGGTTAAAATTTTGAAAAACTACAGAGTATATATATATATACTCTGTCTTTATTTTTAGTCTTAACTTTTAATTTACAAAGTTGTCACTTTATTTTCAATTGATTCTCTTTTTTTTTCTTTCCAGAAAATAAATAAAACAAAAAAAAAATTTCAGTTTGTTTCCTGTTTTTAAATATTATTCTTTTTATTATTAATGACTATATATATAGCACTTTTATTTTTCTTCTAAACTAAGTAAATCATCCCTTTAAAGGAGCAAAATCACGTGAATTTCTAAGAGGAGAAGCGCCCATGTTATCATCAGGTGAATTTACATCTCCTCCATGCAATAAGATAGATCATGTGCGATACTGCACAGAGTTTGGTTGGGGCGCGAATGCTCTGATCCCACCCGAAATCCAATTTCGTACATTTTGGATGGAGTTGAATTTTGAAATTAATCTCAATATATTTTTTAGATTTATATTATGTTTCATGTTTTTAATTAAGTTTAATATATGATATTTTTTAAAAAAAATAATTTTTTATTTAGTTATTGTGTATTATTGATAAAAAAAATTATTTATTTATTAATATTTTTCATAACATGACATTAATTTATAATGAAATTATTTATTTTAATATATTAAAAAATATACCTCAATTAAGTTTTGTTCTTTTCTTAGTTTACATTTTAATTATATATAATATTTAAATTAGTAATGTAATTAATAATTTATTAAATTTAAATCAATTCAACCTTTTTCCATATGTTTTTGAGTTTTGATCAAGTAAAATTTGAGTAAGAATAAGTTTAACTCAATCTGACTCATGCTCACCGTTGGTTATATTTTATAAGTAAATATATATTTTTATTGTTATTCATGGATAATTTATCTATCCATTATAGGAGTTTTATAACAATAATTTTGTAAATTTTACATGCATCCAATAAATAATTACAAATACAAGTATTTGAGTTTGACCTTTATAGATAAAAATACTTTTTTTATTTTACACACAATAATCATTACCATATCCGTGAACACAAAACATTATTGGATATTAGTGATAAGAAATTTTATCTTTGACGTAATAAGCTATTAATCTACAGTGTGAATTTTGCATTTCAGGATCGAGAGTTTGAAAATAAAGACGAGGTCTGGGATGGCCAAGTTAATAGGCATTGTGGGATGCTTGGCTGGGGCAGCAACCCTTGCCTTTTATAAAGGTCCTCCGTTGAAACTTTTAAGCCATTATCACCTTTTGGATCACCATAAAACCCTACAACATCAAGGTCATGCCCCGTCTGGCGCATGGATCAAGGGTTGCTTCCTCATGCTTCTCTCCAACTCCTGTTTCGGACTCTGGCTTGTACTACAGGTAATTTCATTCCCCTTTAATCAATTTAGTGATAAATTCATCACATATTTATATGTCGCATAATATTCCTAATTACTTAATATTTGATCTTCCCATGCAGGCTTTTATTATAAAAGGGTACCCTTCGAAGCTGCTATTCACAACTCTTCAGTGTTTCTTAAGCTCAATTCAGTCTTTTGTCATTGCCTTCGCCGTAGAAAGAGACATTGAGCAATGGAAGTTGGGTTGGAATGTCAGGCTCCTCGCCGTAATATACTGTGTAATTCTCTTAATTCATCTTTCCATCATATCATTTATTAAGATAAATATTATACAAACTATTTTATAAATTGTTATATATACACTGTTATCTCAATGTGGGAAGAGAGTTGTAAATTGTAATCTATAATTAAAGTAATGAGTTATGGTGACAGGGAATTATGGTGACCGGTGTGACATATTACTTACAAACATGGGTCATAGAGAAGAAAGGACCTGTGTTTCTAGCCATGTCAACTCCACTTGCTCTTATTATTACAATCTTCGCCTCTGCAACCGTCTTGGGTGAAATAATCAGTTTGGGAAGGTAACACCCTAATTCAATGCTCTATTTATACATTTGAAATAACGACTAATTAATTAATAAGTGATTGGTATGTTTGTTGATTTTCAGCCTTTTAGGAGGGTTGGTATTGGTTCTAGGACTATACAGCGTACTGTGGGGAAAGAGCAGGGAGCAAATGGCAAAAGCCACCATTGACGTGGAGCAGGCACCGGTTTATAAGAATAATGATATGTGATATATATGAATGAGTGTTGCCAAAATTTTGCATGCCAAGTAACAACTAATGCATCGCAACGCTTTAAGCCTGCGGATATATATATATACCAAAGAACAAATTCAAATGTAAATGTTTGACTACTGGTCCCTTTGTGGCCCAAAAATTTGGGTTGTAAGCCGTCATTTTTCATTTCATTTTCATCTCTTGCGATATCCTTTTAGAGTAATAAGTGAATGTATTAATAGCTTAAAAATTCAATTATAAATCATCATTATGTATGATAATTCAGTCAGTTGATTTTTTAAAATAAGCTTAAATATATATATTTGTCTTAGAGCATTTATGTGATTTTTATTCTTATATGTCATATACGCGGATATGCTAATAAGTATGTGAAATGAGATAATGTAACATGAGAAAAAATAATATAAAAATGTTGGAAGTGACATTTGAACCCTTCTCCATCGCAACTCACCAAAATGCAAATGAAAGTTATGATGTTGAAACAAAAACTATATATATTTATTAATATTAAATAAAAAAAATTATATATAATTAATACTAATAATATTATTGATAAATTAATATTACTAATATTAACAATATTATTAGTATGTTAATAGATAAATTAATGTTTTAATATATATCACAAGGGAGACCTCTTATAGAATAACTTAACATCTGACAAAGTTCAAAATATTCAAAGAGTGCAAATTAGCATGTCCTAATCTTAGGGTTGGAGTTTATACTCATCTTTCATATATTTGAATCCTAAGATTTTAGGGTTAAGCTCCTAAAATCTCGTATTGACTGTCTCTGTATTCCTATTGAAGTAATGTTTTACAACGGCTTATGATATATACACCTCCATTTCTATGATAAGTACATCTTTTTTTAAAAAAAAAAATCTTAAAATATATTTAATTTTTTATTTTTCATTCTTGATTTTTCTTCTTTTACAATCAACATAATCATATTTTATCTTTCTATCTTTTAAATTCTATTTTTCACTATAAATTAAATAATAAAAAAGTAAAATTAAAAAAATACAGGATAAAAAATTAAAGATATTTTAAAAAATAAAAAAGAAAGTGTACTTATAATAAAAAGGTGGTGTATATACCATCAACCTTTACAACCCATATATTGAGAGTGGCCCGTTTCGTGTTGAGAACATGTTATTTGGGCCTGATTGAATCTTTGGTGGAAAAAAATTGAGGCCCACATGTTGTGGGCGTGAGGCTGCTGTGCTGGGTGCTGATTCCATGATTCCTATGATGTAGGTGAGCCAGAAAGAGAGGAGACTAGCGAGACAACCTCGGCGTGGTTGTGGTTGTGGTCGTGGTTGTGGTTGTGGCCTTACCTCAAACCATCCAAAAACGGTTGTCTTCAAACGACGCCGTTGCTGCGGATTCCTTCAACTTTGCTCTCACTCTAACTCACGCCGATAGCAAACGCGTTTCAGTTTCAGCATCTCCCCCGATATGCATTTAGCACGATGGCGAAACTTCTCGTCTTTGAAGAATCACCTTATTCCCTCTGTTACGCATGTATCCGCGTTTCATTCCACTCCTTGCTCCTGTCACAATTGGAAGAACAAATTCAACTCCGTCAGTTTTTTTTTTCTTATTTCAAAACTACTTTTGTTTTGCGCGTTGACCTCTGTTCTTTTTCTTCTCAATAATAAACAATGAGCTGAAAAAAAGGGTTGGTGTTGTGGTGACAATGTGATAGTAATCGGAGAACTTTTACATTGGAGCTGTTTTAGTGTTGCCACAATTTGTTGCTAACTTGTTATGTTCTCGTTTCTAGTTGGACGAGGGATTAACTTTTTTTTACTAGGTATGAGAAAGTTTGCAAATGAATAAAAATGTTTCTTTTTTCCTTGCAGGATGTAAATAAAGGTCAACAACAATCTAAGGTATGCATTGGAGCATGAAACTTTAGAATTAGAAGTAAAAAAGAAAATATGGGTTCTTTTTCTTTAGGTGTTCTAGCACATATATTTCTGCCTATTTTTGGTGTTGTTAAATATAGGGAGTTTATTGACAGAGCATTTACCGGCTCTAAAACTGTAAAGTATTATGCATGGGAATAGGTTGTTAGTATTTTAAATTGTTTCCATCAATATATTGATTATCATGTAAACTGAATTTATACAAGTATTATCATGTTAATCTGTTGATGATCATGAAGCCTCGTGCATTTTGAATTGGAGATAAAGTTTTTCTGCTATGCATAGATTCAGTTGGTCCAGGCTTCCAGCTGCTTATGCCCTATGGTGAATTATTATGAAAATCCAATGGTGAAATGATGACAGATAGCATGTCTGAGAGTTTTTGATCTAAAGTTTTACAGATTTTTCTAATATGAAAATATGTGAAGTCTGAACAAAATAAATGGAGAGCAGCAATTTACGAAGATAGAGCAAGTTGGGAACTTCCGGTTGAATGCCTCTTGTACACATTCACACATCACAACACCTAAGTTAACTGGAACTTGTTAAGCTATTTCTGTATTGTGAAGAATTTTCTACCCCTTAGACTAGACATGCGATGAAACTGCTATTATCCTGTTGTAGATAATGGATTCAAAACAAAATCAGGGAAGGGTTGAGAGGGGGAAAGACATATGCACATTTTATATTCTCCATCTTTTCCTGGTTTCTTTGACTATTCAGTTTGATTAGTTGACATATGACCTCTTTTATTGTTTCTGTTCTATAAATCCTAGGACTTTCAATTTCAAACAACGGCAGATCACTCAAATTAGGTGCAAACTTGCCTTTATTGTTCGGCAAATCTATAGTCTTGCGATTAGAGGATTGCACTCCTGTGATCAGAATTCAGAAGTTATTGATTTCTCATTTCTTAAAATCAAGGATTTTTTTAACTATGAGATGGAATGGGATTTTTTTAGTGTCGTGCAATATCTGTTGGGCAATGGGGTTCATAAAAAATTTAGATAGAAATTTGTTTAGCATTTAGTTTAGGGCTCTGACATAGTTATGTCTCCCATGTGTTGCTTCATACAACTAATATGGGAAAACCTTTCTTGTTTGACATCAATATAATTATTAATATAGTTGCTTTACTGATGATGGAATTGTGAATTTCAGAATCACATAAAATACATTACACGTCAAAAACGTGCTGATGCAAAGAAAGCTCTGAATAGTCTTCTTTACAATAGTGGAGCCTCTAAATTTTCATTTGAGGTATGCTTTCTGATATCTTGATTGTATTGAGAAACTTTGTAATTTTGTTATTATTACTAATACCTTTTATATTGTTTACTGTCCCCAAGTTTTCTTAAAATATTTCTGGGTGAGGAGTTGTGTGGGTAAAGTCTGGATTAAAGAGAGGTGGACTACTGCAAGTGGGTGAACTAGTGGGTTTGGGAGTAAAATTTTTGCACAATTCATGAATTGGTCATGAAAAAATTACAAAAGGGAAAGAATATGTGTTTGT